TAAAAGGAAGCAGAAAAAAATTGCAGGGAAAAATTTACCTCCCCTTTATGATAAGTATAAGTAGTAAATGGAAGGAAGCAAGGAAGAGAAAGAACATTAAAATCCTTTTTTAGTAATCAAGTTGAAAGAGTAATTGTGATCGCACTCTCGACTTTGTTTGCCTAGCTTTTCTATGATTAGCTTTCCAAATCACAGTATATAAATAGGTGACAACTGTTTTACTGCAACAATCCTTGTCATTTAAAAGGTAACCCCCCTACGTGTACACGTACATGTGAGTGTCTTGGCTATGAGGCCAGAGTATCACGATTACTGCGAGCCAGGTACTCCCGCGGCCCCTCCTGTACGACTACTGAAGTCTTAAAGGTAGAAGAAAACTCATTTCTGGTAATACCAGTAGAGATTTGAAGCACTTGGTATCAAGAAACCTGCTCAAAGGACACGGTTCAGAGCCAGAAGCCACTGAGGGATCTCTTCTACCACAAGAGCAAACCCTGAATTTCTGGCCACCGCAGGCGGTTCCTTCCAATGCGGCCCTGCAGCAACCTCCCTGGCCAATTCCTCCACAGCTCGGAGAGGTCCAGATGGGAGCCCAGTCAGCTTCGCACTGTTTCCCTGAATCCTTGGAAAAGCAGCTCTTAAACTTGTTTAAATTCATAGCGCTTAAAAACAGAAGCACTGACACTTCCAAGGTAGCTAAACCAAGAACTACTTTCTTTCTCTGCCAGAACGTTACAGATCACAGGTGTCCTACAAGTTTCTCCCTTCTCCCACTTTCAGCAAACACCACTTCCGTAGAGCGATCAGCAAAAGTCACCATGAGGACTCCAAAACTGTGAGCCTGTATGCAGCTGCAGAATAGCTGAAACTGAGGGACTGTAGCAGTAAAAATTCACCTGGCATCTTTCGTAGCTTTGATTTTGAGCAATAAAACATCTCACTACTTTTCGAAGCATACAAATAATATATATTTGTCTCACAGCTGCATCCAGCAGCTATTCAGCCCTGTTCAGCCACTCATTGCACCACATACAGGCATGTAGTGTCCAGAAGTCCATACATACTTTAGAAGGGCTATCTCCGTTTTTACTGTTTGGACAGCAAGACTTGACTTGCTAGCTAAACAACACAGAAAGGAGCTCACTTAAATATCTCTGAGAAATACTGGTTTTAGTCTCAGCAGGATGAGAGCTAGCGAAAAGGAAACACCCTTTTTCAGCCATCTGCACTATCTCCAAGTATCTTCAAGTCGAGACTCCAAATATATCAAGAAGCCTTACACCACAAGCAGGCCTTAATGACAAGCGAAAACAAGTTTTCATCTCATCTGCTTTACTCCTTTCTTTGTTTCAAAGTGTCAGACTTTCTGGCCCCACTGGATAGGCAGGCATTGTCAAGCTCACAATACTTTTAAACACCTCTGATTGTAAAACATCTACAATAGAACTAAAACATTAAATTGAAAAACTAAGGAAGGAAGGAAGGACCAAACACCAAAACATTAAACAGCTTTTAAAGCATAGCTCACAGCAGAAGTCGCTCCTGTTTGCCCAGAGGAAGCTGACTTCTGGTGCTGACTGCAATATGACCTAGCTTTATTGCAAAAAAAGCAAACTCACGCGACTCATGCAATCATCCAGGCAAACAGCCTTTTTAATATCCACAACAGAGGCACAGAAAATAAATAGCTATCACATTATAATACGCTTGTATTTGCACTTGGCACATTTCATCCAACCCCCTTCAAAGCATTTCCCCACATCCATGTGATGTTTAACATCAATGAACTGCTATTTGCAGGTGTTTCTAAAGAAGAGGTGATTCCAGAAGTCGGACATGCACGTGAATCAAAATCTAGACATCCTAATTACCCAAAGCTCTGATCTTCCCAGCTCACTTCCCACCTTGCAGCACATGATTACTGTAAGGGACAAATCGCTAGCATGATGTAAAGTCAGTAGTTTGAAAGTGGAGAACACTAATCACTTTCTGGGAAGAAAGAACTTATGCCATTTACAAGGTTCATTAAAGCACCAGTGCAAGCTCTAACTCCATTTTTCAGGATGTTTGTAAAATTTTAGTATGGCTCACGTCAGCTTCTTATCTAATGCCTATGATCACCTACCCTTTGAAGTTGGGTGTTAATTCCATTCCGTGCACTCAAAAAAGCTGAACATATTCAACTGTGTTCTGTTATACAATTCATGGAACGAGTAAACCAAAATGAATTCTATCAGTGTTATTCTTAATGAAAGAGTCCTGTGGTTGGGAAGAGATGCTTCCAGAAAGTTTCTGGCAGACGTTTACCCAGGTGAAGCAGTGGCCTCTACTACCGGCCAAGCATTTCTTCACATAAATGTCACACCAGCTGCAGACTCCTACTGCTAGCTCCAAGTGAGCCCTTCTACAAGGATACTGCACGTATACCTTTTTGTTAGTGCCTAAACGTTAGCTGTCAATCAATAAAATTCACTTCAGCCCAAAGACACGATGAAAGACTTCCTTAACAATTGATCCAAACTCCCCCCATCCGTGCTAATGAACGGTCTTGGAGGAAGTCCAAAATTATGTCTCTCCTACATCCCTTCCAGCTGTTTAGTTCCTGACTAAGCAGTATACATGCACATTAATGCACACATAGTCAGAGGTCTCTGATTCGTCACTTCTTTCAACCACATAGAAACCCTCTTCCTCCTTCCTCCTCTCGTGTATGTTTTGAGTAGAAGAAACAAAGAATTAGTAGGATGTTTACAGATGCTTTCTTCCTACTTCAAATGCAACCTCATAAGCCTTTGTACTGTCTACAAATTCCTCCATTTGTTCTTTCTTTTGACTTTACCTAACTCCTCTTGCATCCCTCCTCCAATTGCTACACTCCTTTGCTAGCATGCACGCAGCTCTTCCACTAAATATTAATTAGGTTGTTTTAAATCTTAAAAGAAATCTTAAAGAAACTCTCACAGGACTGCAACGCACTCTTTACAGCGTCTGAGGTCACATAGGTGTCTGTCTCCATTTAATTCAAATGTCCTCTTTGATCCACTTTAATTCTCTGTGCCACCTCCCTATTAAGGTGTGGCATCATATAAGCCAATCCTGACCACTTTGTCCCTTCCCAAGTCTAAAGCTTCTCTGCACTTTCATCTTCATTTGCTGGATGTTCAGTACAGTCAACAAGTCACTTCCCTTGAAACCCTACCCTGCTGGCTCCAGCCTCTGCCAATTTAAATAGGTTACAACCAGCAGCTGTCACAACTATCTATAGAAAAATGGGTGACGAGAAGGGGATGGAAGTCTATCAAAACTGCATTTTTTTCAGCCATTGATAATTTAGAAGGTCAAAAGAACTGAATACCTTGCGAAATAAGTATCTTAATAGCACACACACAGTTATCTGCTAGCGCTTGATGCAGATCATCAGATAACACTATGGAACACACCACCTGGCTTCTTAGGCATCTGGTTTTGATATGTAAAGGAAGGAGGTTTGATGTCATCACCTGCTGGAATAATCTTCAATGTGAACAACGCATGCTCAAAGAAATATGCTGTCAGCAGTAGAAATAACAATTCTAAATTGCAGTTTTCTAACCATTTTCCTGCACGCAATAAGGGTGGTTTTGTGGCACCTCATTCATAGAAAGCAGCTGATATAGTCTCAGTGGCAGTGTAAGTACAAGCAGTGACATCACAATTATATTGTTCATATAGTTCGTATACTGTTCATATCGCTTATGTCTATAAATAAGTTTGAAATGGTAACGTGCATACCTAGTACATTTTTAAAAAGTTAATTTCACAAAAAGCCAGTAATTATGAGCCAACACAGGACAGAAAGTCCAAAAATGGTATTTATGGGCCATTTTACTAGACATCTTCCCTTCTTCAGCAAACTGCATGAATGTTACCTAGTGGGAGATAAAGACAGAAATAAATGTACAAGGATAGAAAAAGAGAAACTGTGGGAATCAAAACCAGGAATCTAACAAAACACAAAGAAAATTTTTTAAATTTACATCAAACAAAAGGAATCCTTGGAAATTCAAAAATAACTCTGGTTAAAGGTTGAACAAAAATCATAAGTATGTCAATCATCACTCATAGAAGGCAGAAGCATTCAATAAATATATACGCTGTTTTTGGCACAGGAAATGTCATCTGACTTCTCGGCTGTAACTGAATACCGTAATAAAGAGTAGCCATCAGACACAATTTGTTTCAAAGGATTTTAGAAGAGCAAGCTAAGAAGTTCGAGTAGTGAGGATGTTTTTCTAATAAGAATCAGAACTCAGATGTTCAAAGGTGAATGGGATGACCCAGGAAATTATGATCCCACAAGTTCAATGACAGCCCAAGATTAAATACAATATCAAATATATACTTTGATAACATAAACAATAATTTGGTTTACGGAGTCTGGTTGTCAGGCGCCACTTTTTTTTTTTTTTTTTAAAGAGACTAGAGGTTTATTTGGAAAAAGAAAAGAAACAGTATTGATGCAAAAGCACTGACTTCTGTAAGGCTTCTGACTTGTTCTCACGTCCTAAATTAACGAAGAAACAAGTATACAGAATGAAAAATGATAATAAAATTACAATATACCAGCCCGTAAGTTTCAATATAACGATCATCTAAGAACGATTAATAGGAGGCCCCATTGACATTAATTCTTGGCCCTACACTATTTACTACTTTTATCAACAACCTGAAAGAAAAGCAATGAAGTTGTGAGACGCAAGATAGGGAGCTATACACAGTGGAGAGATCAATGAAAAGACAGGTGGCCTCGCTCTGGGACTGAAGTACAAAACACACGGAGGGATCTAGGAACCCAGATAACAGGCCACACTGTCGAACCAAGTAACTCTACCCAAAGCAGCATCAACTCTGACTTGGAATGCATCCTGACAGATAGTCAGCAGAACGATCAGGAGCACCAACACAATACTATTCCTAAGACCTAAAGCAACCCATGGACGTATAAGCAGGGGAGCATCAGCTAGGAAACAAAAAACAAGTCCTCCCCCCTACTTGGCATCCATGCAACAGCTACTGGAATGGCGTGCTCACTTCCGGCATCTAGAATTCCAAAGTGATAGATAACTCAAAACACTAGAGAGATTCAGAAAAAAAAACCACCGACATTATAAAAAAAGTCAGAAAATACATTACTTTGAGTGAGACTAAGAGCTCAATCCATTTAAGTCTAAGAGAGAAAGCTGGATGAAAGGGAACAGAATTTCAGAGAGGGCTCTGATCTTTAGGTAACGATATTGCATATAATGACTGGAAATAGAAATTGGCCAAGTTTGGGACAGTATTGGGTGGGGGGGAGTCTAGCAATGAGGAGAACATTTTTGAAAAATTCTGAAAGTTGTGGTGATCTTTGCAAAATGGATTTTCATTTCAGACTGGAATATTTTCTAAAACATATAATACAGCTTAACGACAACTATTAGACTTGAAATAAGAAAGCCTGCACTAGATGAACACAATGATCTCTTTGGGTCTTCAGGTCAGAAAAGTTCAATATTTATACACACCAGCTCTTGCTACACAGCAGTAATGCAATGGTATCAGAGCTCACTACTGAACATGCTGCTCTCCACAACAGCCAAAATCTTCATGCAATCTAAACAAAAACAGAATAAGGTGATAAATGATGCAGAGGTGAAACCATTTTTCACTGGCTTTATTGTTAATGATAAAATTATAGTTGCAACTAATTGCAATGTGGCAATTCACTGCTGTTCAATACAGAGACAAATAACCAGGACAAATTTCAGCAGCAATGCCATGCCACTCAAAGACCACTAAGCAAAAGGTGTTTAAAACACCGTCCTGCATTCAAAGGTGTCTTTGCCTCTCTCTGGAAATACAGAAAGGGAGCGAAAAAAAGCAAATATTCATTCCACTTGCACCAAATGTTGGTAAAGCTTTTAGATGTCAATCAGTTCCAAAACACTGCAGCTAGCAAAAGCTGTAAGCCAGTCCAGAAGAACTGTTGGCACGTCTATATTTTCCTCAGCAACTTCTAAAATGATAATACAAATTCAAAGAACTAAGTGTTAAGAATGTGTAGGATGCACTTGAAAACTGGAGAACTAAGAAGTAAAGTCATCACTATCATAAAACAAACTGTACCACCACTGTAAAATAAGCAGTAATAGCTCAGAAAGGGAACGTAACTTTATTATAAAAAATGAAGAAATATGTAATTCAACTGACCTTTCGGGCTTAGGCCTTTTTGACGTCAGTACGTCACAGGAAACAGAGAAACTGAATAGACTTTCAGGAAATTGTAACAGGTAATGACTTGCCTCACATCCCTATATTTGATGCAACATACATATTAAATAACACCAAGATTCAGGGATAGTTTTGTCCTATTACTGATCTGTTGATAAAAACCTAACATTCACCTCAAGGATCAGCAGCTAGATACACTGCATCTCAGTTCGGTCATTCCAAAGGTCACTGAAGTTTAAGTCTCTCAGAGGGGGCCATACAATTTTTGGAGGGGTCATACAATTTACTTTTTGAAAGCTTAATACTGATTGTAATAAAAAAAAACCCAAACAAGATATTCAGATCTAGGAACGTTCACGTGATAGGCTTGTTAAACAGCCACTTAAGTGTCACGTTAAGCTCCAAGGCATTTACTTTCTGCAGGCTTTTAGATCTAAACTGAAGCAGCAAAGGCAAACACAGGAGAACATTCACAACACAGTTGTGCTGGTCTTCCTCAGCATCAACTTTACTTGAAGCAATTTCTCAAAAAAACAAATACCACAAGAGGGGAAAAAGGAAGGAAAGGACCATCGAGCTAGCTCAGACATCTATCACTTTGGCCATCGGGTGACCTCTTCTGGATCCAACTGTGGCAGAAGAGACTACAATAGCCAGTTGCTTAAATTGGCCACCATCAAATCCCAACAGGTTGCCAGTCCACTGACTTGTGAACCAAGCAGCTGAAGCCAAAAGGGATGTTTACTTGCAACATTTGAAGAAAAGTTTCATTCTGCTAAAGCCTTCCTTCCTGCTGCGATGTGAGCTGGTGCCCCCCTCCCTGCCTTTCTGAGGCGCATCTAAGGCTGACGTTAACCTGCTCTCTCAGTAACGCAGTTTACTGAGTACTCTCCTGAGGGGAGAAGAAAAAAAAACTCTTAAAATTAAAGTCAGACTGATATTTCTGTCACAGCAAACAGAATACCACAGTAAGTTTCTAAGCAGAAAAATAAAAACAAACAAAAACCCCCCAACTTTGCCAAGCTTCAGTTAACACTGAGGTTGGAGGGGGGAAAAAAATGTCTTTTACCTTAGGGAGTCACATTAAAAGAAAATCTTTTCCTAGCTACACAAAACATCTACCTGAATGCTTGTATTTAAGTTTCTGCTTTGGAAAAAAAACATAGAAACATACAATTAAGGAAATCTAAACACTGGCTGTGCTGGCATTTCATAAGCAGTCTCATAGTTGCTAACAAGTTATTTTTAGTAGGTTCTCTTGCTGTTCTCTTCTCTACACACGCATATACCCCACTCCACAGAGGTTACCTGGCTGTACAGATCAATTTTAAATTTAGATAAGGTGATTCCATAGATTATAAAGTAAGTATTGGCGCGATCGTAACAGCATTCATTTTTCTAATCGCAGGACAGTCATTCCTGCCCCAGACAGCTCGCAGACAGAATGAGGGACATGAGGAGAGTGGGACTAAGCAGAAACAGCATGACAACACTGTCACAGCACGAGCTGGTGGCTGTGCAGCCCCTTCGCTGCACAGCTTTCTCGAGCTAATTGCCAGCTGAGAAATTCAGACTCAGTCCAAGAAGTGTACAGCATTAGCATTTCTTCTTTCAAGTTTCCTATAGCCCTTCCTCCCTCTTACGCCAGCAGGGAACATGATTTAGCAAACATTTGATAAAGACAACTAGAGCAGCTCAGCTGACGCATAGTGACTTATAAAACCCCTGTAACTGAGCCCTGACAGGGCACCAGAGACCCCCAAGTTACAAAGAGATCCTATTTAACCTCTTGTTTGTGCCATTCGACAGCTGGCCCTTGACAAGTCTATCAGTGCCTTCTAGCAACGTCAATACAGTAAATCCACCACTGGACACCTACGAACACACTCACTTTCAGAGGACTGTCAGAAACTGCAACCTTTTCCCCCACAAACTAACAGCTGATAAACAGCACACGTCTGGGAATTCCTACAGCACCTACAATCATGCCATCTAAATACCTGGTCTGAACTACAAACCTTTTCGCAAAAGCAGTTCCTAACAAACCGCTTAAGTAGAAGACCCTTTACTTGCTGTAGGCTGCCCTGGCTCAGTTTTATCTGCATTTATTACAGCTTTTGAATCCAACTAAATGTATGTCACCTAACCAAGTACTTTTCTGATCCCCGAGAACAGCAATCATCAGTGTTTCTTCATTTTTATTATCTCTCTGCAGCCATTAAGAGGTTTCTGCTGTGCAGGCCTGTACAGTTAAGCAAAACCCACAGAACAGCAGCCTGCAACAGCTGCGAGTTACCATGACTCTCCCTACGAAACACTTGCATAAATTAAGATAATCTTAATACATCTTAGGGGAAGTCTCCGTTCCTCTCTTGGGATTTGAATAAGAAAGCTTCCAATCATGCTTGTTACAGCAGTGCTTAAGTACCAACCCTCAATAGGACCCCACTGTGCGAGGCACAGCACTGGGAGCAAGAGACAGCTCCTGCCCTGAAGCCTCCGTAGTCTAGCCAGAACAGCAGACAGACAGACAGACATGGGCTGAGACAGTAGACCCCACAGAGGAAACGACATAACGGTCAGTTGTTCCTGGCAAGTGCTGCAGTTATTTGAGAAGGAAGGAAAGGAGAAAGACAGACCTTAAAGGAAACGGGCTAAAAAAAGAAGAGTGAAGGTAAGGAACAGCAAAGGCAGGGGACAGGACACACACACACAAGAGCAATATCAGAACGATACTAAAAAGAGCAAAAGTGGAGAGAAGCAGGAGCAGAGATTCAAGGAGAGAAAAGACTCCAGAGAAGGACTGCTACATCAGGACAGGGCAGAAAGGCCTCCCACCAAAGGAGCTCTTTGAGTGCATGAAGCACTTGCTTTCACTGCTACTGCAGGCAGCCCAGCCAGAGCCTGCAGCCTTCTCCGTAGTCATCGCAACCCCTGCCAGACCATGGAGTTGTGGGGGAAGGAGCAGGGCAAAGCATGTCCTTCCACAGCTGCAGGGTCCCATTTCTTATGCAGCTGTGGTACCTGCCACAATATACAATCCTTGTTGCAAACACCACAACCCCAAACCCTCAACTTCTGTCTTAAAAAGCAATTTCTATACGTGTTGACAAAGCAGGTGGCTTTGAAAACTCAGACACAATGACAGGCAGCATCTGCAGCATTCTCACTGGAGGGTGGAGGACTCAAGCCATCTCCCCCTCTCCCAGAAGGAGCCCATGGGTTCACACGCGTTTTTCTCGCCTTCAGGGCATCAGAGAGTTTTTGCTTTTTGATTTCTCTATTTTGCTACTGCCAAGTACCCCACAATTTGTTTCCTGCCCTGATAGGACCTCATATGTTTTCTTGCTCTCCAACTTTAATGAAATAGGACAGCATTACAGTACATACTTGTCATGCTACTCCTCATAAGACTAGAAAACAGAATGGTAGAACCAGTGTCCAACCTATAGAGAGAAATTGTTTCTTGCTGTGCTTTCATGCAGACTCTGAGATGGCTCAGAATCTGATATAGCAGCCAAGATGCAGAGAGAAAGACAGATGAAGCTAGTTATGAAAGGCTTTCGTTTGATACCTATCTCAATACTGGAGAAAGAGAGTAAGAAAACGGCCAACAGCTCAGAAGCACCATCCATCCCATGTGGGAAGTACAGTGGGGAAAAAAAAGTCAAGTAGTGAAGTGAACAGAAAGTGAACAAGCAGCATCCGAAATCCCCATGTTGAACTGTGGCCTGTACTTGTATGTTATTCTACGAGCCAAAGGGGCACTACAGCAATTCCTGTAGAAACTAAATTCAAGTTGCCTGGAATTGTCCCATTCATGCTGCAGAATACAGGTCAGCTCTAAGACTATGCAACTTTAGAGGCAAACAGTCACCAGTACTGCTTTAGATTACACTGCAGAATGGCACAAAAATGAAACAAATCAGTTTAGGCTAAGGACAGATTTGAATTCAAGGAGAACATTACCTCAATTAACATTGAGGAACTGTAGGCACGCTATCAATGTAATGCAGATATTCTCCATAGCAGGAATAGCTATCTTAGTGAAGAAGCTCCTGTTGCAGACGAGGTATCATTTTAGAAGCTAGATACGTAAGCTTTGCATCATTGGCAAGTCAGAAAGTTTGCTCTCACCTTGGGGTTGGACAGGAACAACAGCATTTAAAATTGGCAGACATCTTCAAAAAAGACTAGAAGTAAGGTCAGAAACACTTTACATGAGTTTGGGAACAGAAGACCACAGTGATGTATGATAGAGCCAAGTAACGTTCCTCTAAGAGAAGCTGAGAAGAAAGTAACTTTCACTAAAACAAGACTGGAAGGAAGCATATAGAATATGTTCTGATGTTTGCATTTTGGCTGAGGCAGAAAGTACAATCCTGAATAGAAGTTATTTTCTACAATAGCAGCCACTTGCACAATATAACTTCACTGTGGGCTTACAGCCTGGCACTGCAGCTAGGACAACAAATTGTAAACTCCTAAGGTTATCACAGAAGGATTTCAGTGAGGCCAGGCAGAGACTGAACATCTTTAAAAGTTGTGGCAAAAAAACAAAAAGCAGAAAAGTGTACTCTTGTGTTTCAGTTTAGATATAAAGTTATTTCAAAATAGGCTTTTTTCTAATAATATTCTTTTGAAAAGACAGCTTTTTCTAAAAATCAAATGACTGATTGTCCTTTATCTGTTAAGTACTGAACCCAGGATTCTGTTTTCCTTTACACTCATATATAAGGAGACATCTAATGTTTCACTTTAGATCTTGATAAATCAAATAGAACCGCAATTCAGCATGCAAATAAGGAGAAACAACTCTTTCCAAGTATTTCCTTGTGAACAGTGAAATGCAATTGAATTGGAACACGCTTCTGGCATTAGTGATAATTTTTTCAAAAGATCCGTTTCCTCTGTAAGGTCGCATGCAAATATGATCCACTTTTTAACCCAATTATAGCCCTTTCAGCAGTTTGTCATATCTAAAGAGTCTGAAAGTTGATGGTGCAGATACGTTCTACTGAAAGTAATATATGGTGCCTGAAGATGCCTGCATCACAACTAAAGGAACAGAGGAAAACCTTTAGACATTTTTATACATATTACTCATCACCAGAGGGGGTAAAGCATGGGTTCATCAAAATTAGATAGCTGGGAAACATTCACATCTTAAGTCAAACTCACCCCCTTTCCAATGTCAAAGGTTATGGCAATACTAAAATTACACAAAGGGGCAGGTCTTTTAATTTAATGACTGATCCTCACCTATCCCAATGATAGGTCATCACCTCTCTTTACCCCTAGCTCATTTGCCAAGGCAGCAGAATTGTTCTCCAGAAAGTTAGATTTAAGTGATCACCTAGCCAGAATCATCATAGTTACACAGTATGAATACAGACTGGTTAATTCCATAATTCCCAGCACTTTAGAGTGCCTCTGCATCACTAAAGAATCTAGGCATGAAATTATGCCTGGAGAGTGAAAACCCAAGGCATTTTATTATAGCATTAAAAACAGTAGCTTAAGAAGAAAGTACTGTCAATCATTTCAGGAGCCCAGGGCCTTAAAGACTTAGAAGCAGTAAGTTGCTTATGCAACAATCACAAGAGCGTTGTCAAATTAACTGCATGGCCATTTCTTGAAACCTAAAAGTTAATTATTTTCTTGATATATTAAGATAGAAACATCTATGGCTAAGATAAGAACATATTCTCCGATCAGTGCGCTTGCAAAATGACCGTAAACAAAGGGTCTAGCTCTTCACAGTAATTTAAGAAACATCACTAGTAAAACATCTGTTACCAGAAGTACAGTTTAACATTCAGAGGTTTTCACACAATTAAAAAAACACAGGCATCCTGGGAGTACCACTTTGTTAGTTTTAAACGTAAGAACTAAATTAAGTACATATTGGCTTTCAATAGGTATAAATTACTCCTTTCAATTTCACAACCCATCCTCCTACCATTTGTCCTTTCAGATGCAGAAGTCACCACAGAAGCAACACAGTTCAGACAGATCAGTGCAACAGCATCTGCAAAATACGCTCAGTTTAAGAGAAGAATCTATAGCCACATTCAACACAGAATACTAACCCAGACAATCCATCTTCCAAAAAGCACCTTGCAGCATTGTGTCACATCCTAAACCACTCTGATTATGAGAAACAAAGCATTTAAGAGGATTTTTCCCCGTACAACAATAATTGTTTAACATACAGATGCTTATTGCTTGTAAGCTTCCAAAAGCCAAGCTGAGCTCCAGGGTTGCATGAGCAACACTACCATTTCCAATATGATGGATCCGCTTTAGCACTAGAACATCCCTTGCAAGCATGGAGTCCACAAGCTGGCTGAATGTATTTCACTTCACAAGCACACAGTTCTCTGATGCCTGTTATTTCAGTTTTAGCATCCACAGGAACAACCTGAATGTTACATAAAAGTCGTTTCAAGCACATATACAATCTGCTACCTTCTATACTTCCTATCAGGACAGGAAAGCAACTCACTGCCACAAACAAGACTTTCCAGAAGAGCAAAATAATGCTACAGGAGCTCAATATTCTATTCCTATACCCTATTACAACAAGTCAGCATTTACTGTTTATACCATGTTTGCACCTTAAACAATGATAAGGCACCAGAAAAAAGCAGTAGTGAGCTTCATAAAAGTAGCATAACCACCTGCTGCCCCTGTCACTGCAACTACTATTGCAAATCATTTTGTATGAAAAATGCTACATGGCTAGGGCTCCTAACTTACTCCTTCTACATACAGTTGATTGTGCAGTTGCATGCTACTTTTCTCTGGTAGCAAAGTCAGATTAAGAAGTCTCCCACACACCCCAGCAGCTTGTTCCTCTCCTTACTACCATAAATCATCACTTACTAAATCACGTTGATGAAACTGTTTGTGTGGCTATGCTATAAACATCAATGAAGTAATCTGGGAAAGAAACCAAGCTATGTTTTTTATTAAAAACCACCAAACACTTTCAAGTCCGGATCTTCTCGCTGATTTGGTTCACAGTGCAGCTGTGGAAGAAACTAGTGTGGAGGACTGAAAAGATTAGGGTCGGGTAGGAAAAGTGGAACTGGCTTTGCCATGAAAAAACTAATGAAAAATTCCCCTTAAAAAAAAAGAAACCAAAAAAAAACCCATAGAAAAGGATGAGACCTTTGTCACCCATAAGGTAGGGAACAGCCATTATTCAGAATTGAGGTATCTTTAAGCTAGCTCCTAGGAAAAGACCTTTTTTGTTCCCTCCTCTCAAAAGATTTATGCAATACTAACTTGATAGAACTGTAAATCATACATGCAACTACATGAAGCCATGTACCTAATCTAGGTCTAATATGCCATATAAAGTAGTATAGTTAAAGCTTGGAGAGCGGCTCTTGCTCTTGTAACTGTTTCTACTTCACACTATCCAAATCTTTTTTTCTGGGCACACTGGGTCAGAAGAAACTTCTCATTATTTGCAAGTTTTTTCCAGGTTCTGATTACTAATTGGACTGGCAGACTCCAACCTACAAAAAAGGCCTCTAATGGGAATCTTTGAGCTCTACAGACTGGTTTAGTGTTCTCTACCCACAGCAAGATTGCAGAGGTGAGAGCATAACAAACCATCTGCTGGGAGAGGCTCAGCATGGCTCGGCAAAGGTAAATCCTGCCCTAAACCACAGGTACTCCAAGCATCAAATGCTTGGATAAGAGGAATCCATGGACATCACATTTGAATTTTCAAAAAGTCTTTACTGTTTCTTTGATAGCCTATGGCGAGAAATCAAGTTGTCCTGGGAATGGAGGAAAGGTCCATTTATGGATTGAAAGTTGGCTAGAGACTAAGCAGCAAAGGGCAAGACTTAATAATCAGGCTCCCAGCAAGCAGAATAGTCAGTAACAGAGCAGCCCCAAGAGTGTAGCTGGGACTCATTTTATTCAACGGTTCCAGTGACCTAGAAAGAAGGGCGGCGTGAAATTACCTAAATTTGCAGTTAAAACTAAGTTCTTTCACGTAAGTCAAATGCAACGCCAATAACTATGAAGCACCTCACAAAACTGAACAAATAGGCAAAATTGGCAGATAAGCTTCCGTGCAGACAAATATAGGGCAATACATATAGGGAAAAATGATCTAAACTCTGCTTATGTAATGCTGAATTTGCAACTGGCAGTTACATTTCAAAAAAACAATCCTGGAGTAACTGTTGACAGTTCTCTGAAATTACTGGCTCAACGTGCAACATTTGCCAGAACCGTTACCTAGATGTTGGACGTCAACAGGGAGGAATTGAGAAAAAGGCAGAAAGTCCTTTTGCTGCTATCGAAAGACTCAAGATCATAAGCACTGAGCTGGGGAGACCAGAACTGCACACACAGAAGACAGCAGAATTCAGAAAGGTACAGAACAAGACAACAGAAGGGTCAAAGAGATGGAGCCTGGTCTTTTGAGGAAAGACTGAAGAGGCTAGGACTCTTCAGTTTGGATGCAAGATGATAGGGGTGGGGAATATGATCAAGGTTTACAAAACAGGAAGGCAGTGGACAAGATGAAGACACGTTTTTCACCAAATCCCAAACTAACAGAATCAGGGAACAGTAGAAACGAACAACCCATTGGTTTAAAATAAAGTACTTTTTCCCCTTTCTTCTTCTTTATTTTTAAAATACAGCACGCAAAGAACTTCTGGAATCTGCTACCTCAGGACCATGAACAGATACGAAAGGGAACAGACAGTCTAGCACTGCCAATCTGGTGACTGGATGCTAGAAAAGTACAAGGAGAGGGGACCACAAAGTGGCCACGCTCACGTGTTCTCCCTAAACACCCATCTCCCATTGCCTCAGAGGGAAACTGAACATTTGGCTGCATGAACTACTGATCTGATTCAGTGCAGTATTTCTTACTTCTTAATTAAAACTGGGGAAGGAAACATCAACACAAAATTTAAAATGGATTTAATACTACTTAAAGCTACTAAAAATATAAATAAAAGGTCTGATTTCCATTATATTTACAAGAGTTCCACTTCAGGAGAGAAGAGGACAGATGCTAAGCTAGGAAGTGAGGAGCTTGGCTTTTGGGATGTAGGAGAGTGAGCAGGAAGAAAAGAAGTTTAGCCATCTCAAACACACATTATTCTAGGCACTTACAGGCAGGAAAGGCTTGCTTCCAACACAGCTACACACCTCCGTGCCAAAGGCTTCATCTCCGAGAGCTTCTGTGCCAATAAAGACAGTCCAGGTAAGAAGTGGGCTGACTCCCCCGAGCTGCGTTACCAACTGTAGTTAGGGTGCCTTGATGTCATCTCAAGGGAATTTCAGAGAGT